CTTAAATAAAAAGCATTACACAAATTTCGTTTGACACAAGGCAGAGACAGAGAAAGTGGCCCGAAGGATCGACAGAGAGGCACACAACAGATCAGATGGGTAGAGAAATAGAGAGATTATGAGGGGGGTATGGGGACAAAGGACTCGAAGAAGGACCCCTAGAAAAGTGGATGATATAACGACGGCCAAGTGGATCTCGATTTGGCTATCTGATTGCTGTATCGCCGCTCTTGGTGGTTCTTGTTGTTCTAGCTGTTGTTGTGGCATCGTTTTACCAGACCAAAAGTATATATATCTTTAACCGGAAACAAGGAAAATCAAAAGCACAGTAAATGAGACCAAATAAACAGAAGGTATGCAACGAATTGATCTTATTATCTTCATAAATCGATTGGCCGCTTCAACGGCTTGCAGCTAGTTTCTTATGGCTCTAATGGTTTCTTGGGGTTACGTGTTGTGTGGTTAGGTTACGGAATATACATATAATAAACGTATTCAAAGACTATGTGAAGAGATAACGCCTCTATATAACTCAGTGCCAAGTACACACGCACACACATCGACGGAAAATTGCTCTTAGCTGTCAGCTTCATCTTTGTGGTGGGTTTCGGTTCCTAAGATCTCAACTACGACTACTAAAATCGGGTGACTCTAGACTAAACAGACTAAACCGCACATATGTGTGTGAGTGTTTGGATATCGTATCGGGTGGGAATCGGTTCGGTACGGGAAAGAGTTACAGATAATGTGAAAACATGATGCTGATACTGAATACGATCAAAGGATACTGCAACTCTTTACTGTTTACAAGTATACAAATATCAATATTTTTTATCTAAATGATGATCATTGTAAAATCATATTTCAGCGCCCAAAAGGCGCCGGTTTCGTACTGGTTTCGTTTCGTTTTTTATTTTTAGTTTTATTTTTATGCGTGGCTGCGGCATACAAAGTGGGTGCAAGCAAATTAACGACTTTGAAATATAGATGATTAGATTGATTGATTAGGTAAGGTGTGGAATTAGTTTCGTATTGGTATGGTAAATAAATTACAAGTAATCGATATAGTATGTTGGATAAGTTGAAATTGCAAAAATTGTAACTACTGCAACTTTATTTATGTATGTATCGCATATAGGAACAAGTGGAGAACATATGGAAATCATATCGGAAAACTGGAAAACCAAAACTCTATGCGGGAACCAAAGCGGCAACTGGGTGTAAGTGTATTTCAACCGAAAATGGAAATAGAATGAAACCAACGCACAAACAAACAATTTAACAAAAATGCATTTCGTTAACTCAGGGAGAAGCCAGTATAAAGAATAGGTATCTTACATATACATATGTAATATTGATTCAGCGCTAGTTTTGGAGCTTAACAGTTCGAACTCAAAATCAATGACGCAGCTGAAGTTGCATAAAAACACGCAATAGTGGCTCTGGTCTATATGTACGGTAATAATCAAAATCCAAAGACAAAACTAAACAGGAACCAAAGACGAACTCAAAAATTACACACTTCAAATACAGCGAGTCTAGCCCTTTTTAACTTTCACTTTCGATGGTCTTTCGGCTGAACAAATTCCAAAGTGCCCGGGGAACACTTTCAAATACTTCTGTAAGTTGTTTTCTGCAAAATGTACTGTATGGTGATTATCGAATATTAAATGGACAGCTTGTTTTTTTTTGTTTGTTTATTTTGTTGACTACCAAAAGTTTGAAATGAGCATGCTTCAAATTGAACACAACAAATGCGGGAGCCCATCAAGATAGCTTGGTTAATTAGCAAAAAAGTCTTTATTAAAATTTACAGTAGAGATTAGTGAGACAAAGTGGTGAAAAACGGGCCAGAGATTTCGAAATTTATACGACAAAAAGTGTTGCATACCCACAGGCACCAAAAAGAAAACCATTTTTTCAAATCCCGATTCAGTGGCGCATTTCTTAAATGTTTTAAGCAATTTATGAACTTTAACAATTTATCTCTCTAGCTAACAATAAGCCTAATGAAACGCACGCAAAAATGAAGCCATAGTTTCAAACAATAAGTATAATGTGTGTAAACGACAACGAGAATTACAGAAGGATTTGACAAGTAAATTACAGAAATTATATCTCACATGGGGAATACCTTTATTCCCTTGCTTTTTGTGTAATTTTTGCCATTATTCTTCGAATGTGTTTTCTTTTTTTGTTTTGTTGGTTAACTAAATACAGACACATGCCGCCAAGAAACCAATGCCTTTCAATTCCTAATTGCTTTTTTTTCTTTTAATTTGTTTTCCTTTGGTTTAGCTTTATGAAAATAACAAAACAAGATAAATACTTTATTTTTGATTGCAAACCCTGGCAACAGTTTTTCCTTTTTATTCATCTGTTGCCCGTCAGAGTTTGGCATTTTTATGCAATTCCAGGTGACGTCGAAAAAATGCTCAAGAATAATGTGAAAAGTAACGAAACAATAGAAAATAATACAAAAGCTGTTGGTTCATTGACTGAAGTTAGGTAAAGAAAATTTAGAAATACAAATAGAATTCGAGAATTCTTCGATTGCTGCGGTGTTTTTGGTATTTGTTTGCTTTTATAATCATTTCTTGGTTATCTTATTATTTTCGTGTTGTATAGTTTTGGTATTTTCTCATAGCGGTACAGCCAGCAACGTGTTCGTGTACCTTTTTCTAGGATCCTTGCTATATGTTCCACCATATTTGCTTCTTTGGGCAGCCAGTTCAGTGATTTCTGGTATCCAACTAGCGAAAACGGCCTAAATTCAACAACACACATACACATTTAGATTGATTGAGAGGTGCCAAAAGAGGATTCAGTTCAGTTTTTCAGTATTTGCTGTATTTATTTTGATCGTTTTTATCTGGTTGGTTGGTTGGTACTGTTCTGTTCTGTTGGGCTAACAAATTTATCGTGTGTTAGTGTGTGTGTGGTTTCAAAAAAGAAATGGACAAAATTATTATGCGTACAATTGTTTGGAAACAAATCAACGACGACGTTGACGTTGACGCTGACGACGAAGAACAGTGCAGAATGGGAACCGCTTGACCCGCAACTGACTCATACTCATTTTCATATCCATATGCTCATACTCACTCCAGGCACTCACATAGCACTCACTCATGTATTTACACCGATTCACGCTTCACTCGTCACTCACTCCATCAGAAACAGATACTTTAAGGCTAATTGTACATTACTTTACACGATTTCTCGCCACGATTTCTCGTTCGATTGCTGTCAACGGCATCTATTTACTGTACTCTTACTTGGTTACATATCTAATAATTTACATTTGTAGTTTACAATACACGAGAGTGCTGGGGCCTAGACAGAGACAATTTGGGGAGTCAAGATGTTCGTGGAGAGCAAGATCCCTCTGAACTCATCATCTGGAAATCTTATTGGTAGTGCGCTAGTTTTTACGCTATTGAAATACCGTACTTTGTACAATCCTAATTACGTTTTACTATGATTATTTTGGGGGTAAGTACGCAACTCCGATTCTTCGGATTCAGTTAGTTAGTGGGGTGATGAGAAAGCAAAACTTCGGTCCACCGAATCGCCAAGGCTCTCCCATCCTCAGGATCGAAATTGGGAAGGGCCTTTTGGGTGAACTTTAGTAAGTATTTATAAATGGACCAGCGAGACTGACAAATGTAGTTATATATATTTAACAGGAATAAATAGGAAATATGAATTGAAAAATACATATTGCAAAATATGTGGCTGGAGTTTGCTCTCTTCAAAAATATACGAATCGATTTACGTGTTATGACTTTGGATAAATTTAATTACTTTTATCAATGCGTGACCGATGCTATTTTGGGGACATGTGTTGTAGATGTTTATAAGTGGGGGCTCTAGAAATCTGTGTGGGATGTGGTACAACAATGCGCCTAAATAGTTTGCACAAATGCTTTAGGATATCGAAATAAATATATATGAACCTTGAACTATTGCAAATTGATAAACGCATATCTTGTATCATAACTCTGGTGTTAATACGGAACGTTTAAAGCATGGCAAAGTAAAAGTGTCAAACGAAAATATCTTGAATAAAAATGTTTATTCTGGAGACAAAGTTCAAAAGAAAAATGGGCCAAAACGAACTCACGCTTGCCTACAAAGTGATTCATATGATAGACATTGCCAAAGAGTTTAATAAAAACGTTTAACGAAACGAAATAAACCAAGGAAAATAAACAAATAAAACTGGAAAACGAAACCTAAGTAAATGAACATTAAAATGCTTAATGACTTGTACAAATAGATCAATGTGTGTTCGAATCTGCTGAATTGCCTCTGACTGCGAGTCAACAAAAATGGTTGAAAGTAGAACAAATAAACACAAAAACCAAGTACAAAAGTAACGATTAAATTGTACTTTACTTTTATTACTTGTTTGATGATTTATCAAATGTCATATATATATATATCTGTTTCGGGTATCGAAATACTTATTTATCAAGGAACAAAATAGTTAAAAACGGACGACTTAAGAGTCGGCTGAACTACTTTTTGATGCGGGTAAGTCAACTGTATATGCGATCTTAGGGATACAATGAAATTAGGGAAACAAAGTGAAAGGGTAACAGACTAATTAATTTATCGACTTTAATCAATAGTAAGAGTTACTGATTTATCTAATTGGAGTTTCGCTTAACCCTAGATGGGTTCAAAATACTAATTAGTGTGTTCTTTACAAAAGTTTTCTTTTGTACTTCAACCGAACCTAGCTCTTGGGATTTCAATTGACAGAACTGTTTTGAAAAGTCTTAGAGATAGTAGTCCTCAACAGATGGTAATTCCTCACTGAAAGCATTTTGCTATGCTGATTGGTTATGTACATTTTCATGTTATACTTTAAAGTTTATTGCGATTTATAATTTTTTGTGGATTATTTTTAGAATGTAGCTTTGTGTTTTTTCACATCGAATGCGTTTTAATGTTTTTTTTTATTGGGCTTAATTATGGTTTTTATAGACTACCTCTTTCCGTGTTCTCTTTTCAGTTCACCGCCATACTTATTGCCACTACCGACGAGTTCAATTATCTCCGGTATACTGCTGGCAAACATTGCCTAAAATATTCCATCGTACACGAAATTAACAAAATTCAATTCAGCAAAAATATATGTACTGGTTAGGAGATATATAGTGATTGTGTCTTAGGCTTAGTCTAGTTGTTATCATTATGGTTCGATTACTTGCACTGGGGCACAAATCAAATGAAAAAAAAACGCTGTTTCGATGGGTACGAAGTCAGGCCAGGACATTCACACCCAAAGGATATCTAAACCTAAAAGCGATTCGGGTTCGGTTTGCTCTGGATCGGACCAGATTGGTTACACAAATATGCGGCAGCCAGCATTAAAGCATGCAAGAACATTAACTTTTGGATATAACATGGATGTATTCGTAAAGCTCCTGCCCTAACCGACAGATCCCTTGAAAAGTCCTGACTCTTGGCTGTGTGTGGTGGGTATTTCTGGTGTGTTTGGTGTCTACAAATCTTCCATTACAAAAACCAAAGCATATCGAAAGTTTCAACTCAAAAGTGATAAGGTAACTGCATGCATAAGTATCGATTATGGGAGAAAAGTATTGAATGGGGCTGCGTGAACGTATGACTCGAGTGTCCCCAGCTGTATATTCGATATCCAGATGGATATCGGATGGATATATATAGAGTAGTTATATCCGGGCGTGTGTGGGCGTGTTTTTGTGTTAAAGGACGGAGAGGAGGAAAAGAAAACGCGTTAAGCTTGGGTGATGAGTTAAGCTAACGAAACTTTGGGAGGATAAACGCAAATACGAAACTCAGCCGCAAGGCCTCAAATAAAGTTCCATAATTCAAAACTTGTGCAGCGGTATTAAGTCGTTCTATGTATTTACATAACGTGGCATGTACATAGTAGAAATGCAATTAACAAATGTATTGAGTATTAAGTCTATAGTTACGTAAGAGAGGTCAAAGGCCAACGGGGTCAACGCATGGTTACTCTATGGTTACGGCTAAGAGAGTTCGAATTCAGTATCGATTATAGAGAGTATAGAGTACTGAGTATTGAGTATTGAGTATCGAGAGTGCTACACTCCGGCTAGTACTGGTACTGATACTGATACTGATACTGGTCTTGCTTTGGCTACTCAACTATGGTTTCTGAGCACAACTGTACTAATAAGTAGTAGATTAGGCGGCAACCAAAACTTAAATCATTCACACACTTCAGCACTTCCAACCCCGCTCTTGGCCGGGCCTAAACTCAATGGGCATCGAGGCGGACAGAGAGATAGGAGAGAGAAACATTGGCTACATCTCGATAATATAGGTATCGCATATACGTACTCGGTTAGAACTAAAAGAAGGCTTAGACTTATCGGTATGTCTGCTGTGTGTATTTTTTCTCTTTTTTTGTGTTTCTCTTTTTTTTTTAGTTTTTTTTTAGATTTGCTTTGCGAACTTACCAAGCCGACGAGCAGAAAGAACACGAGAAATGTTCTTCCCAGGACAGTCTCACAGTAAACGTCACCATATCCTACCGTTGACATGGTCACAATTAGGAAATAGACACAGGTCCAATACGATAAACGATGAGCATTATTAAAATCCAGCGGATCGCCAGAGTTCTCCAGCTAAATTTTAAGTAAATGCAAATGCAATTATCAGCCGCATCAGCGGATCAGGTCATCCAAAGTCCTCTTTCGATGGGACACTCCATAAACACATCGATACAGATATAGTACATATGTATAGTGGTGAGGAAACTCGGAAGTGCCTGGTTTTTAGGATCTGTAGCAGGCTGCAACGCGGCGTATGCTTGATATTCGGACTGGCTCCTCGCACACACTGCAAACCCGCCACAGCGTCACCCACACACTGGCACAACCGATCCCCGTGTGTATGTGTGTCGAGTGTTTGTGTGAGTGTGCGTGTGTTTCTACATACCAGATGTATAATGCCCGCTGCTGTTAACCACACGGATATAAAAATTGATACTAGTTGAGCCAAGCGTATGGAGCTCGATGTTTTTAGTACGTTTAAATATTGTAAAATATCTGGAACAGTCATGAGACGTAGCGCTCGAAGAAATCGAAGACCTGTTCACGATAATACACAAGGTATATACACAAAATGCATACAGGCGGATGTTTCATGTAGAGTAAGGCACATTGCATGCATACAAATCGATCAGGACACTTTATATGTGGGTCTTCATGTGTGGCTGTTACTGTTACTGTTACTGTATATCATTGTGTGTGTGATATATAGGGGGATATATCAATCTTGATCAATACCGATTTGTATGCATATAACATTTTTGGAATTTCATTATGATAGGATAATTTAATAGGGTTTGTTTCGCTTACCGATCCATGTTCGATCTAAATATATTGATACGAAGGACGGGGGTATTGTAAAATAATCTACAAAACTGTACATTTCTAACATAAACCAAAGCTTATCGGACGCCGCTATGAACTGTAAGGAGATTGTCAGATTGAAAGAACAAAAGAACGAAAATGTTTAAGAATTTCTCGCATAAACCAAAATGTAGAAAGAATATCAAATCATCATCGCTCCAACCAATTGATTCAAATAATTGTTAAATCAACTCAGTGTGTGCGCTGGTGTGGTTAGTATGTCAGTGTCGGTGTGTCTGTCTGTCTGTTTGGCCGTCGGCAACTTACTCGTATAAAAAAGTAAACCATAAAAAATATATTGAATGCGAGATCGATCTGTTGAGTAATGTTGTTACTCCACTTTTGGCATCTTTCGACTTCTTCGCTAGATGCATCAACAAAGTATATGATGAGGGATGCAATGCTGAGTATAAATACGAGTACGACCTGGAAAAGAAAGTGGGAAATATAAGTTACACATACAAATATTTTATATATTAAATCACAATCATAATAATAATAAAGCCAATAATTATTCCTTTAATTACTCTTCATAAAAGCACCTTCATTTGTTTTTCTTTAAATAACGAACTTATTTGGTATCAGACTTGGCATAAGTTATTCTTCTTAAAAGGACATGAAGTTCATTTCGTAACTCATAAATTCATTGGCTGTTATAAAATAAACCCACACACAACAGCCTCCCAAATATGAACAGCTGCTACATTTCGGTTCCATAAATCACGGCCTTGTCAGATGACAACCGCATTCGAACGCTCCATTGAACTTGCGACCCTCCTGCCCCACTCCCGAAATAAAAGGAAATTGGAAAAGCGAAAGGAAAATGAAATGGCAAAAGCAGGCCGAAGGAAAAGGGATAATCGGAAATGGTCCTTTCTCAAGAGAAACCCGGAGGCATGGGAAACCGCAGTAATGTGCATTTTTAATTGCACACTTTGGCACAGGCCACGGACTCCGGTTCTCACGGATCATTTGATTCATGGCGAAAGTGCACGGCTGCTGGGGCAATTAGTCGGGGGCACCCCGTTGATAAATCTGCGGCAGTCATGAAAGTTTTACAAGGTAATTTCGGAGCAAGTGCATCCGAGGGAGGAGGATCTGGTTAAATGTCAGGGCTGTTTGCCAAAAACAAGTCTTTTTTTGGGCCAATCGAGGTAGTTCAACTTCAGCCGGCTGCACTTTACGTATATTATATCTGGTATGTCTGGTTCTCTGGTTCTGTTTCCGTACTTAATGCCAATGTAATTGTAATTGTTGGTACTATCGTTTCGTAATTACGTGGATAATCGAAAGCGAAGAGCCCCCGAAGAGGACGAGAAAAACTAAATTTGGCATGGGTTGGCACGCAAGCTATTTACTTAGGGCCATAAATTGAAATGTCTTGGCCCGGGCTGAATTACTCATTATTCTTGCTCTGCGGCTTTTTTCTTGGCATGCAAATTACACACACACACCGAAACACACAAACTAGCAAATAGTCTCCTTAGAAAGTTGTTAGTTGCGCAATAAAGTTTTTGGCAGCACAAAAAACTTTGCTAATATCAGAGACCAGACAAGAATTTCCAAGTAAATAGCACAGAGTTTCCTGCGTCTCTGGGATTGCGTATACGTCATGTGGTGTCAGGCGACTGACATTTTCATTAGGCGCTTTGATCCCCAAGAAGCCGAAACGGAAACCTAATGAACGCCCAGAAAGCCCTTTCACCCTCGACATCTGACGTCATGGACAGAAGGTAATAAATGCAGGTTCCAATATGGTGACAACTTCTCCTCTGACGTCTTCACTTTCACACAGAAACCCCAGAAACCACCCCACCCACTCCGACCCGATGAACTTGTTATGCGTGAAAACTGGGTCAATCACTCCGGAGAAGCAGCAGCCGAGCTCTGAGTTCTCCTCGAACTAAAAAAAAATGAAAGAGAAAAGCACTTAAGCCCTGCCCGCCATCAAATTGCATCAGCGCGAACTTGGAATCTGGGTCACGAAGCGGGAAAACACGTGTCCCACTCATAACATTTTCAATTCGATTTGCTCGCCCCTTCTGCGAACAGCTCCAATGCGATTTGTTCTGGCCATAACGCTGCGAATACAGCAATCAATTTGAGAGCCAACCAACAGCCGCCAGTTTAATGGCCCCAACTGCACGGGGAAAAATAATCTCTACAGATGACAGATGGGCTATTGAGAAGCAAATTCGTTCATGATATTTTTGTAGATATTTATTGCAACTTTATATAATAGATTCCCCAGTTAGTTGATTAAAAAAAACATCAGGAAAAGAAATCGGATACCCGGGTAACTTTTTGCTTATAATTAGGTTAAAAAAACAGATTTAAATTTCACTAATTTTGTTTGCGTGCAGCACTTTAAAATTTAATACTTTCTCGTCTTGTGGTTTTTATTTAGCTTTTCCAGCACTCACATCTATGGCGTGACCAAGTGCAATCGGATGTGGGCGTTGGGGAGAAAAATGCTGGGATTTAAGCTCTTGCAGCCGACTTCCGCATTGAAGTCGCACCGTGGATTCCAAAGCCAATTAGCGCCTGCAGCAGGGCTTCAATCCGATTAGAGTTGAACGGAAAGTTCAATAAATAGTTAAGAAAAAATCATATAATAAACCAGAACGTTTGGGAGAAAGTTCTCCACAAAAAAGCCAAAAAAAGACAGGGAGAAACAGCAGGCACGAATTGTGTAATATCCAAATGGCAAGCCATTCATTTTGCCAGCCACAATAACAACGCCCAACGACGAGGATAAACAACACACGAAAAAGGGCGCCACACGAAATGGAGGAAAGGACCTTTCCGAAAACAGCTGCAGTCCAATACAAAGGAAAACGAAGGGAAAGGAAATTCGACGCTGTCTGCCAAACAGCGAAGCCAATTGGCTGCCAAAGCCTGGCACACAACTACAGATGTATGTATGGCCAATAGGCCGGGTAATAAACATTCACAATCTGCCACCCACAACACCCCACTCCCCCTACTCCGCCCACTCCAATCCGGGTGAAAGTGGAAATGTGCGCGCTGTTTCATCGATTTTCCTACTGGTAGCATTTCCCTTTTAAGCGCCTCCTATCCTGGCATTTGCCATATTATTTACTGTTATTTGTTGTGGTCCCTAGCTCCACTGAATGCCACCCGAAAGCATATGCATACATACATCATTACTTGGGGCCCGTTTCCCGTTATTAGCTGAAAGTCCCTCTGCCGCAGGAAGACGGCGAAACTATCGATAAATGTGCCAGACACACAGGGAGCGAACCACTCAGCGGGCGGTCGGAAAATGGGAAAATCGAGGGCGGTAAGATTGTAAGGGGGCGGTGGATTCTACATGTGAGCAAGATGGTAAATGGTACATGGTACATGGCAATCGTCGTTCTCCACCGCTGTGCAATTGTGTGCCAGCTGACAAGAGGAGGCAGCAGCATTGAACTGCCATGAGAGGATTGTGGATGTGCGTGGTCTAAGGATATGGATGGTCCTTCCACATTTGACCCCTTGCAATCGGCCAGAGCTTGTCACTCTGCGGGACAGGCGGTGGCCTTGACTGCCAAAGATTGCTATTCGCCCGAAGGCTTACAAACAGGCAATCAAACTTTAATTGTTACCAAGATAATCGCACAGAGGAAAATTTGTTCCAAGAAATTATATAACAAGAAGTGCTGAATAAGTAGGAAGTTGTAAGGGATCTTTAGAGGTATTTCTCTTGGTAGATTCTATATTTTAAAATCTAACAGCATAAATCAATAAATAATAAGTAACTTGTAGCTTGAAAGGTTCACAATTAAGATAGAATTTTATTTTAATTTAATATTTTAAAGTCAGCACTCAAATCGATTTTCTCTTTGTATCAATGGAGGTTTCACTTTAACATGATATCGCAATATCCCCTAGCATTCCCAACAGACAAATGCAAATATTCAGCTGATAAGCTCGCACTCAAAGTGTCGGCAACTTCAAATCAAGAGCTATTTATCGAAGGCATTTACCACAATACCCCAATAAGACCCACTAAATGGCCCCAGAGCCTGCTTGAGTAATTAACTAAGGCAAGTTAATGGATGGGCGGTACGCCATGACGTATGCGTAATATTTGGACAAACAACCGATTTCAATCGTTCGTTGGCGAGAGAGGGGGAAACCACGGAACCATTGAAGTTAATTTCTACGCAGCCGAAATGTGTAATTGAAAAGACCCCCCCAATCCCAACCGCCAGGTCAATTTGTGCTCATGTATTTATTGTACATGGAAATGGCACATTTACTTTGCTGCTTCCGCTGTTGACACGAAATGGCTACCCCGAATTCAGCAATCGCAAACAAATTATACACGCAAATGGCAGCCGATGGGGGCGAATGTGGCCCGAAACTCTTCCAAATGCAAGGCGATGGCACTTTCGCCAGCTGCATGGATGTCCATGGACAAGGACACGTCAACGTTGTTTTGCTATGGGAAACCATATATCCACTTGATCTCTGAATAATTCAGTGGGCTTGGCAGGCCAAGAGATGGCACTCGAAGAAATTACTAATTAATTTAAAGTGAGATTGACTTGTTTACTAAGTTTTTCGGAATAACAAATCGATTTAAAAATGCCCTTATAGCCCGTAAAAAAAGACTAACTTTTTCTATAATACAATATTATAATACAAAAAATATTTAGCTAAAATTATCAAAACTATTATTTTTCTGAATTGTGTTAACAACTATTTTCTTTAGATTTTTATCTAAATTTTAAGACTGCAACACTTTTATTCCCAGTGCAGCAATACGAGCATATGCCCGGCCAAAGAAACGGAATTCTCGACCCAAACAAAAGGAATTCATAAATGATAAATGGGCGCTGTCCGAGCTACGAGCTATAAGTTCCCAGGTCCGAGGAATACTCACCAAAATTCGACCAGTTGTTGTTTGACCCGAGATAAGCTCTCCAGCCCAGTCTTTTGCTTCTGTCATAAAGGTGCCCTCGAACTCCTGTTTGTTGCGGGAGGCCTTCTGCTCCTTCTGCTTGGGGTCGTTGGGCCCCAGGTCCGGCTCCTTGCGGCAGCAGACGAAGGCGAAGGCTCGCCATAGTAGCACCACGAGCAGGCCAGCAAGGAATGTAAAGATGCTGGACAGCAGAAAGCACCAGTACTTGCGCACCTTGAGACAATCATCGGCATCGAATGGTGAATCTGTTGGATCGTCGGCCAATGATTCGACAGTGCTTTGATCACACCCCGACATCCCCTGCAAAAGGCGATAATAAAATGGGAAACAATTAGGCTCCGATGGCTGGCAATTAGCTAACTAAATTTAGCATAAATCAATACGATAACTGGCGGAAACATTGTTTACGTCATACACTTGACATTTAGAATCAACGAAATGCTTTCTATATGGAAGCACTCGGGCGCAATTCTATGGAACATATAGAATATAAATATATATATATATTTCTCAACTTGGCGACGCTGGCAAATGTAAACAAAATGTGCCTGGCCAAGGGTGCGCGAAATGAAATGAGTTCATAAATAAATGTCTCTAGTTTGTTTAGCCGACCAAAGTTTATATTTGTACACACGAAAAAGAAAGCCGAAAATGCTGACATTTACATTATTGTGTAATTAAATATATGCAGTTCCTGGAAGTATATTCTAAATTATAATCGTGTGTATTCAATTACATATTTTATATGGTGTAAAAAGAAAAAAGTATCAAACAATTAATTTAAATATTTTTATCCTTAAAAAAATTTTTCTTTGAGAAGTACTCGATTTTTACTAGTCCGATTTATGCATCTTAGATAACTGTTCTTAAAGTTTTCCATTATTGTTAATTTAATGTGAATACATTTAATTTAATTTTCTTTGCATTTTATATATTCTGTATTATTTTATATATTTTTTTAAGGGTACATGGGTATATGGTGTATTCTATGTGCAATCCTCCTTACATTTGTCAATGTGGTGGTGAAATTGGTGCCGATCAAACCGCTTGCCATTTTGGCTGTTTACATTGCGGCAATGGCACACAAACGCTGTTGAATTAATATTGCCGCGCGATATTCGGATGGCGTTCAAGTGCAGGCGAGTACCAGAGGATAGAAGACTCTGGGAGAAAACCTGACAAACCGAGAGCCGAAAGCTGAACGCCAAAAGCCTCACAATGCGAAACGGAACGAAAACTTGGCCCGCCTTTTATAAATAGCATCAAACAAATCTGTTATTTTTAAAGTGATCTCCTCCGACACACGCACAGCGACACGAGCGGCGACAAAAGTGCTCATAACACTGGGCAAAGGCCGTCCGTACTGCTCTTCTCAGATCCGTAGAGCCGTATGTCGCATATATATCTACCCGATCTACCCACTTTTCGGGCTATTATGGCCCGCATTCACTTTGTGGGATTTATGGGACACAACTCTCAGCCAGAGGCCAACGCACTCACTCGGTGAATCACTGCACATACGCATGTGAATTTGCAATTTGTACGGATTTGGGGGTGGGGATGGGGTACTGTTATATATATATTTGGAAGGTGAATATATTACTATATATATGGCGGATGTCACACACGACGCGGCACGCACGCGAATAGAATCGAATTTAGTCGAGTCGAGTAGAGCTGAATAAAAAGGAGGCAAGGCACCGAGCGAACCGCACAACTGGCGTCCACCAACTGAACGAGCTGTTTTCCAATTGCCCCGCCATCGGGACGGTTCCAACGATTACGAAGAGCCCGCTTCTATTCTATCTATGTATATCTCCTGGGGGCCCCAGAACTCTCTCTCCCTCTCTCTCTGCATGGCTCACCCACTCTCCGGCCATCTCACTCGCTCTCCGGCGGACTGCGGCTCTACGGCTGACCGCGAAAAGTGTCAGGACGGGCGACAAACTTGAATTTAATTAAAAAGCCACCCGAAGACAAGGCGAATTCAATTGGGTATTGGTATAAAGAGGATATACCCTAACTAGAGGGTGAATATGAATGTTGGGATAAGGATAAGGGATAAGGATTAAGATTAAGGGCCTTGGATAGTGCTTTCCAAATTCGTAATCCTTAAATGGAATTTTCGTTTTTATAATTTTAAAATTGAAAGCATTTCATGATTTTAGTTCTGCAAAACGGTTTTTACAAAAATATTATAATAATATTATTCCAAACTTAATTGTCAAATACAAATTCTTGCAGTGATAAATATTTATTAATTATTATTTTCAATAATTTAAATTTGTAGATATCTAGTTTATATTTATTTATATTCTGGCTTTGAAGCAATTGCAAATGGCCTTCAACCAATTTTTTAGGTATAGCTTCTAGGCTGAGAATATTATAATTTTTGTTAAATTACGAATTTTTATATTTCTTTTTTTGAGTCGCAAACTCACTCTCATAGAGATCAGTCGTGCCTTTCTATCATCGTCTCAAATCCAAAGCTTATCTTACAAGCCACAACAACAATTCGTAAACCCAACGGTAACTGCAAGTGCAAGAAGTGCAAGTGCCAAACATAACCTACGCGCCATACGTAGCATGATGGGAGACCCACCCGACCGGGGTCCACCTCCTAGCCATAGCAATAACTTGGAACTCTTAGAAACTATCGGCCCTAAATACATGACCATAGCTAGATCAGATCAAAATCTCGATCTAAGCAACATCTCACCATTCTTGATCAAGAAGCAAATTGATTTTACCTGCAGTGGTGAAGTTGATGAATGTAAAAAACTCAGAAACGGAACCCTATTAATTAAAACAAAAACAAACATTCAAGCAAAGAGACTACTCCAACTCAAAGCTTTTGCCGATATAGCCGTAAACGTACAAATCCACAACTCTCTTAATTTTTCCAAGGGAGTCATATACAGTAATGACATTAGAGGTATCGACGTTGACATAATAAAAAGAGAACTAGCTTCTCAGCGAGTCCACGATGTTAAGAAAATACTTAGGAGACAAAACGGTATTCTCACAGAAACCGGCCTCGTAATTCTCACCTTTAACACTCTTACTCTCCCGGAATATATTATGATCGGTTACCAGAAAACAAATGTTAGGGAATACATTCCCTTACCCCTCAGATGCAATAAGTGCTTTAAGTATAACCACATCAGCAATGCATGCAGAAACAACAAACTTTGTTACAACTGCGGTGAAGAATATCACTTAGACCCAAACACTAACGACAAATGCACAAGACCAGCACATTGCGTAAACTGCAAAGAGGACCAAACCGCCGAACCACACAACTCTGTTAACCGTAGATGCCCCATATTTAGAACACAACAGGAACTCACAGCAATTAAAACTACAAAAAAATGCGACAATAAAACTGCTCTCTCTATCCTACGATCCCGTAACACCGCCACCACACCACACTCATACGCATCAATAACTAAAACTACCCAGCAACAACCAACTACGCTCACAAACCATACAACGCTCACAAACCATACAACACAACAAAACTCTGGACCTCAACATCTCAAAGGACCCGATCTTACTCAACAACGACTAACTAGATCCAGGACTACGCCAACATCTTATGCAGACCTCACAACCACACATAGTAACTTAGATAATCTAAAACCAACCCAACCCCCTAAACCAACCCCCCAGCTCTGTACAAATCCTACCGCTTACCACATCCAAACGCACGATCGCAAACCTCAAGGCAGCAGCCAAAGCCACCACAAAAAAAACCAAAAAAAACCCAACTACGCCTGAGAATGCTTCTAGCGACTCATGCGATATGGAAATTAATTAAACACCAATCACCCTTACTAATCTAGATTAATGCTAAAAATAATTCAATGGAACATAAAAGGATACAAGAATAACTACCAAGAACTTCAAATACTCCTCAAACAATTTAACCCACATATAATTGCCCTACAAGAAACCCATATATCTCTCACAGAATCTCTACCTACCCCTGTAAACTTTTCTCTTTTCTGCAGCCAAAACACTAATGCATTCGGTGGCACAGCGCTTCTGGTGCATAATTCTATCTCTCACACCCAACACCAACTGACCCCAGAGTTTGAAGCTATCGCCATTCAGATAGATTCCAAAACTAAATTTACACTAATTTCCACATACATCTCTCCCAACAAACAATTTCGCTCAAACAACTTACTAAACGTCTTTTCTCCTACAAACCTACCCACTATAGTCCTAGGTGACTTCAACAGCTGGCACCCATATTGGGGTTCCCCCAGAGCCAACTCTAGAGGCAACATTGTTGCCAAATTTATAGACCGTTCAGACTACATACTCCTTAACGACAAATCTCCAACACACTATTCCACACACAACACATTTACACACATAGACCTCTCTCTTGCCACTGCCGACATAGCGCCTGAAATAACGTGGAAAGTGATCGATGATCTTCACGGAAGCGATCATTTTCCCATCCTTATAACTATGTTCCCAAACACTTCCTCTCCATCCTTTGTCGCCAAACCATCCTTTAACCTGAACAAAGCAGACTGGACTCTATATGCAAACACCATTACGCAACTATGTTCCTCTACACAACCTTGCAACAGCAACGTTAATAAAGAAGCCGCACTTATTAAAAAAACACTTATACAATCTGCTCACATAGCTATTCCACAAAACACAACCTTTTCCCTCAAACACACTGTTCCCTGGTGGAATCAGGAACTTACAAAGCTAAAAAATACAAAAAACAATAAATTTAAACTTCTTAAAAGGAACATAAATACGATAAACATGCTAGAATTCAAAAAAGCAAACGCAAAATTTAGAAGAGCTATTAAAGAAGCTAAAAAAACATCATTATACAACTTCACTTCTGAAATTAACCCTAACTCTGACCCATCGAAAATGTGGGCCAACATTAAACGATTATGCGGCCTCTACCCTTCTAAACATATCCATGCCATACATAGCCCCCTAACGCAAACCACTTCTACATGTCCCTCAGAAATAGCCAACACCTTCGGCGACCTATGGTCAAAAGAAGCTGATGACTCAAACTTCTCCGACACATTTAGAACGAACAAAAACCTCACAAACAATTATATTTATCACGAACCTTGTGATTCAGCCACTCAAATAGAAGGCAACATTTCCTTTATAGAATTTCTATCCGCACTCAACTCCCTAAAAGGCTCCACACCTGGCATGGACCGGATATCCTATTCCATGATCCAGAATGCGCCTCCCTCCTTTAAAATCAGAATTCTTAACCATTTTAACTATATTCTAGATTCCCACATCCCTCAAGCCTACAAAGTCAGCCTCATACTTCCCATCCTCAAGCCACAAAAACCACAAATCGAACCAAATTCATATAGACCAATTTCCCTAAACCCATGTCTTGCTAAAGTCTTAGACAAAATCATTGCTAAAAGGTTGTGGTGGTTTGTTATCACTAACAAACTCATTCACAACAACCAGTTTGGGTTTAAAAGAGGAAAATCTGTTCTAGACAGTCTACTATACGTAGACCACCTAGCAACAAGATCCCTTTCCTTAAAACGCCACCTATCGATTGTTTCCCTGGACTTTTCCAAGGCGTTCGACAAAATTGGTATCCACACTATCATCCAACAACTTCAAGAATGGAAGCTAGGCCCCCGAATCATCAAATACGTAGCTAATTTCATGACAAACCGGAAAATTATTGTCAAAAACGGTCGAAATATGTCCAACAGTTTTCCTCTCAGCAACGGCATCCCACAAGGTTCTCCCATCTCAGTCATTCTATTTCTAATATCTTACAACTCCCTAACAAATATTATCGCCCGCCCGAGGCAAATCCAATTCACGGCTTACGCCGACGATTTCCACCTTATCATCCAACACAAAAGAACGAAAAATCCCACCGTAGTTCTCACTTCCCTCTTCCAGGCAATTAAAAACTGGTGCTCCTACTCAGGAGCCTCCTTATCGGTTGATAAATGTCAAAGTCTTCATATCTGCCGCAAACACAATTGCAAATCAAAAATTCGAACCGGCTCCATTAACATTCCGGATTCCAACAATACCACAATTCTTGGCCTCACTCTAAACAATAGATACAATTGGACAACCCACATAAATAAATTAAAAACCAAACTCAGCAAGCCCTTAAACATTATCAAACACCTTTCCAGTCCCAAACACAACACCAACACATCCACGCTTATCCAAATAACTAAATCCATCCTCATCTCCAAACTGGACTACTGCCTTCCCATATACGGGAACGCCCCTACCCACCTTATAAACAAATTAAAAACAACAATACACTGCGCAATCAGAGCAGCACTAGGTGCTTTCAGGACTACTCCAACGAGCAACTTGCTAGTAGAAGCCAATATAGGCTCTTTCGACCACCGTATAAATCTCCTAACAGGCAAACTATCGAAGAAACTCATACACTCATTTGACACCCCCCTTAAAACCCTGACTAAAACCTCAAAAAAGAAATTTAAATACCCTAGCACAATAGACCGAATAATTAACATATGTAAGGAACTTCACCTTCCCTTCAGTCCAATTAAAAACTATCATAACAAAAAGTACGACATGGAAATTATAAATAAAGCCACCAACACAACACTATCCAACTATAATAAAGCAAACACGCCCCCCTCAATCTATAAACAACTTTTCGAGTCCTTAAAAAACACCATCCCCTTTCACAACATATTCTACACCGACGGCTCTATGGCCAATGGTATAATTAGTTACAGTGTAACCAAAGAAACCTATCCCATCAAAGCTGGACTCCTTCCCCACTATTCATCCGTTCTCTCAAGTGAACTTATAGCCATCCACGAAGCCGTAAAACTTGCATTGAAAACCCCAGGCAAACATGCTATCTGTTCTGACTCCCTCTCTGCTCTAAAGTCAATCATTAACTCCAACAACCACTCCTATTATCCCTCATCTATAAGAAACCTTATCATAAACCACTTCCCAAAAATCATACTAATTTGGATCCCCAGCCACATCGGCATAGTAGGTAATGAGAATGCTGATAATACAGCTAAAGAGGCCCAACAATTTCCGCTCATCTACACCCCAAACAACAACTCCAACGACATCTCTCACTTCCTAAAAAACCACAACAAATCTAAACTATCGGACATACTAAACAACGTTTCCCCTTGGTACAAAAAAATTCTTCATTCTTCCCCTCAAACCATCGTTAACATATCCCCCAACCAATCTAGGAAAGCTCAAATCCTCATTAACCGACTCAGGTTAGGACACACCAAGCTCACAAATGCTCACTACATAGATAGGTCACTTTCAAATACGTGCCCGTTCTGCAACAACTCGACAATTAGCCTAAACCACATAATAATCAGCTGTCCCTCACTATCCCAACACAGAAGAGATATCTTTAACTCCGAAAACCCCATTCACTTCATTGCAAACCCTACTAACGTCAACATCAACAAAATCATCTCGTTCCTCCGTATAACTAATTTAGCACATACTATCTAAGAAAACTGTCCCTTAATAAAATATTCAGTCGAGCCGAAAGCCTTAGTTGCTAGCGCTCTAAAAATCCCCAGTTAGCTCATAGTTTTAACTGTAAGTTAGCTTTATATAAATAAATAAATAAATAAATATTTCTTTTTTTCTTTTCTAAAGAAAAGTACAAGTTTAAAGTGAAGTTTTAATTTGAGCATACTCTAGAGGAAACTGGCCTTATGCAAATTTTGGTAGAACCCTTGGCAAGGGCAGGCAGCATATTATAGAACGCTTTGCATGTGTGTGTGTTGCCCACAATGAATTATTGTTACAACAAGAAGAACAACGGCAGGCTGAATATAAATAAATAAATTATGAGTTCGCTTCTATTCGTTTTGTTTTGTCTCTCGTTTTGTGTTCTGCGCCTATACACACACTTTTTGCATTCCTTTTTGTGACCCCACGGTCCCCGGGCAACACTCGTCCCCAAAAGGTGGGTGGTGGGTTGAATGGGTGGGCACCCATTTGGTGGGTGGTTGAGGAAGGGGCCTCAGGTTAACGTGAACGTGAACGTTAACGTTACTGCTATTGCTACAGTTAACTCGGACCAGTCACGCCATGCCGCCAGTTAGCTGTCGTTTCATAATTTACGCGCTTTGTTTGCTATTTCCTGCGGGGGCAGCCGTGGTAACAAGTTGGCCCAGTTTGTTTGCACATGCCACTATTTCCACTGGCCATAATTGCTCATCATCCCTTAGCCCTCGCATCCCTGCATTGCCATTAGCATGCTCCCATCATCATCATCCTCATCATAAGCCAGCAGCGTGCATTTTATTTATAGTTTTTATTTCAGTATCTGTTTTTTTCTCTACTTTTTTTTTGCGATGCTTGGGCGGTTAGGTCCTCCGCTTCATTGCATTTACGCAATTATAAATAGAGAAGAAGAGCAAAATTGTTATTCAATTAAATTTTTGATGACTATTTTTAAGCACCATTCACCTTGAATTTAAGCGCTGTCATTGCGTATACGTGATATTTATTAATTGAATGCGATTACAGGTTTTCAATCCTTAAAGGATTTTTATTGGCTTTAAATTTTTTAATATTTTTTCAGTTTGAAGGGCTTAAGAAGTGCATAAATATTGGTGTTTTTAACCTTATTAAGTTTACAAAACTGGGGCGTTAATTTGGAAAAGTAAATACTCTTAACGAAATTGGATTGAATTTTGAAGTGCTATCAAGTTTCGTTTGAATAAACACATAAACACTTGGCTTGCCTTTTTGTGTGCTTGGATTAAATTCCGAGCGGTTCCATCGATTCAGGCGAAAATGCAGTGGTCGGCTATGAATAATTTATTTATAACATTGGGAATATAACCACTGGTATTTGAATTTTTTTTTGCCCAAATAGAGAATGTTTTCTACGGTCGAATCGCCTTAACTGGCCCAAAGCAACTGGGCCAAGAGTCAGCTGCGACTTATGAATGCGGGTGGAAAAGATAGCGAACGATATAAATTATGCCGCCAGTCCGATTTCGCTGTCACTCCTTGGCCAGAAGGCAATCGAACGGATGAAGTCACACGGCAGCCGTCTGATAATAATTTACATTGCGAACTATCGATTTTCGGGGGGCGTGGGCCAGCCCCTGACCAGCGCTATATCTTGACGCATGTCCGTCAAAACGAAACGCTCGAAAGGCGGGCCGCAAAGACGGAGACAACTGACGAAGCTGACAAATACCCTTCGACTTTCTGAGCAATTTATGGCCAGCACTTGGCCCGCTGATTGGGTCCGTTGATTGCCGGCCACTGGCCGCTTTTCCCCACACTTTGTATTTCCCCCCATTGGACATTGGCCAAGGCCAAAGGGCTTAGGCTGCACTTGGTCGGTTGGTGAGTGTTGCTTTGTGCTGTGTTTTTTGTTGTCCAGTGTTCTCCATTTAATGTTCTATGTTCGCTGTTCTGTGTGCCACATTCTTAAAGGTCACGCGAGCCATTGCGAATGGGTGGCCAAAGTGATGGAAATCCCATTTATTAAATGAAGCGAAACGAATTCGAAATGAAGAGCGTAGTGGGGCTTGAAGAAATCCAGGATCATGTAATTAAGATTAGATTACACTCGCAAAAAATGTATTATTTTTGGCTAGGGAAAATTACTGGAGAAGCATTTGAACAGCAAGAAAAAGGTAATGTTTACTATACAAGATATACAATTATTTACATTAATTTACAAGAAATGTTCTTTTACTTAAGAAATAAAGCTGGCTAAGCATTCTCTTTATCTACTTTGATAACTTTTCCTGTCAAGATAAACAATTCCTTAGGAAACCCTCAAATGTTTTTAAAAACAAACTTATTTGCTTATTCATTGAAAAGCGGTCATTGAAAATGAGATTTTTTAATGCAAATGCAAATTGATAAGGACAAGTGACTAAGATCATGGCTAAATGAGTTCAGAATGCAGCACACGATGATAAGAATCGCACTGGTACGATGAAAACTATTAATGGAAATATTAGATGATTGATTGATTGACGGGCTGCAGATAGGGTAACCCCAGTGCTCTATAAAGTACATAAGTAGCTCTTCGTGGAACCGCTAACGTGATTGATTTCTACGATCTGATGGTCTTTCACAAGCGTTGCGTATTTATTTGTGGATTCACGTACGACATCGAGGGCTTTACCTTTGGCGTGATGGGCGGATAGAACGGTGGCAGTTCGTGGCAATTTGGGCACCATGGGCTGGCCATCTTTGATGGATCGTTCCGGGCGGACCCCTCGCTGATGTGCTGGCTGTGGTCGTTGTGGATTTCGATGTGGTTCTAGTGGCGCTTGTGATTGCTTTCCCCTCGCTATCCGTTTTCATATTCGCTTTCTTTTTGGGAAAGGTGTTTGGTTGTTGTGGTGGTGGTGTAATCGAATGGGGAATCGTGTTGGGTGGGTGGGTTCATTGAGCAAAGGAGGACCTTGAGTACTCACCTAGTACTGGCTAAACCACCGAGGCAGGGCTCCAGGGCTGCCAACATTCACACGCTCAAATCGCACATCAATGTGTAGACGATTTGTGGTTGCTGCAGCTCGCCAATGTTGCACGTGGAAATTGTCTGGCTTGCTGATTTTCCTTACTTGCTGATGCGATGGGTTTCTCTGGTTATTTCATAACTGCATTTCGGATCCGTAGCTCAGTTTCATTGTGTTTGGTTTGGTTTAGAACGACGGTCTTATCGGCTTCACTTAACTTATCAGTTTCATTGTGCGTTTGTTTGTTTGCCTATTTGTTTCTTTGCAATTTTGATCGATAGTTCGCTTTGAATTTGAATTGGAATTTGGTTAAATTAGAAACTGCGCTTAGTCACACTGCTCATGTTTCCTTCACGATTTATTTTTCTTTTTGTTTGCCTACGAAATTTTTCCTTGTGTGTTAAGCTGCAAGAGATTTATGGAGTTGAGCGATAAATTAATTATTATTTAAATTGGCAAGGCGCGGCGACGAACGCGGTAATTAATTATATTTTTTTAGTAAAGCTGTCAGCATTATTTGCCTTTTAATTTTATTACGACCGCCGACATTTGTCAAAGTTATTAGGTACTTATATTTATGTATTTTGCACAAGTCCCTGCCTTAGTTTTGATTTCTTTGCTACTGCTGCTGGTTTTCACATAAAACTGTAGAGGAACTCTTATAAAATTAATGTTATTTTAGACTTTGTTCAATCTTTTCGCCACTTGCCGGAAAAACAAGACTGTCAAGTAAATAAATAAATAAAGATGCGAAGCAAACTTCAAAGCAAAATGAGCAGCTCTCGGTGTTTTTTAATTCTCAGTTCTCTGGGAATTCTCAGAGAATCTCTCTGGCATTTTCTCACTTGGCTGATGGCGGATTGGCGACTGCGCAGTGAAGGGAATCCGAAAATTGTCGCGGAGAAAGCTTTTTCTTTGTCTGCGAACGTCGCACATTCTGGTTAAGCATACGCAATGTGGTACCAAAAACCAAGTAGTTTTAAAATATTTCAAATATTTTGTACTTCTTTTGAATTTAATAACATTTATAGATTTTTTAACTATTTATTTTAACTAATTTTTTTAATATTTGCTTTTTTAGACGGATTAGCGAGGCTTTGCTGTCCAGTGACTTCGTCCTTTTGCCTGCGGCATGTCGTTGAAACGGAAACACACTGCCCTAGTTTTCAGTTATCCTTCGTGTGGCACACACACACACACTCGCACCTCGCAGGACACACACTTTCGTGCGCTTAACAAGCTGCCTAATGCGCCTGCAAACAATGGAAACGGGACAAATGCCGAGTCAAATGAAAGTTGCATTTTCATAATAAATAAGCAGGCGACACAATTTCCCACGGCACGCCAACGAGCGGAAAATGTGGGTGGGCAGTGGGTGGGTGGGAATGGGAAATGGCTATGGGTTTTCCCCCTTCACCGAACGGGGCAATGTAAACAGAGCTTAGTCCTTCGTCCTGGCCGCGCATTGAACTCGCCTGGATTTGGTGGCTTCATTTGTAGGTATCTGGGTATCTGCGTATCCTGGCGCACGCACACACACACAAAGTTACTCGGCCACCGACTGACTGACACACATATACCAAGGCATCCTGCGATACACGAAGGACACGACGACGAGTAGGAAGCAACAAAAATAACATTGACGATGACAGCAACAGCAACAGCAAAGGCTGGCGAACGATACAAGTGTATCTCCGGCCTGGAACATCGACTTTATCATCGGCTCGGGTCCTTTCGTCCTTTCGTTTTTGGGGAACTTGTGGTGTGCTCGTTTTGTGCGAAGGAAAAACTGTGCCGTATGCGCATGTGTGTGTGTTAGTGTCCGTGTGTCCGTGTGTGTTGACTTCAACGAATGTATCTTTTAAATGAAAACCTGCAGCAGCACCAAAAAAAAAACGAAAATTGGAAAATATCTAGAGTTTCCCATCAACTTTTCCGTAGCCCACTTTCGAGCTCCCTAAAGTATGCACCACTTTTTGCAATCACAATTTCCATTTTGGGGCACACACACACACACTAACACTCGGTCACTAATTAATTGAATTTCCTGTTTGTGTGTGTGTCGCACATTTTCACGTTCACTGAGCCCGTTTTCAACGGATACCGAATTTTGCACAATTGCCGTTCCGCAAATGGCCACGTTAATTGCCTGGATTTCAGACGTTTTTGCTCAATTTTCCCCGTAATTGGCAGGCGCTGTTTGCAAAATTTTTCACTTTTCCGACTGCCCAATGGGTGTGTGTATGGGTTTCCCGTGTATCCAAATATATACACATATATGCGATGGGCACTTTTCCACACAGTCCACTCACTCACACACCCAGAAAACCAGACGCGACGCGCTCCGGCAGAAAACCAACCTTTCTCGTCAGCAGCGTATACAATTCTGCGCGCTGCGGACTCCGACGACTTGCAACTGGGTGGCCCAAAGTGGTTCCGCACGGCCCAAGCTCCCGAGTCCTCGCGAGCTTTTCGGAGTGCTGCGGTTGGTGCGGGCTGGACCATCCGTTCGATTCATATAAACTGGCGCCAAAACCCATTCACTATGAATGACCCAGTGCGGCGGGGATGATGATGATGTTGCTGATGGCGTTTGCGATGGTGAAGGTGCTGGTGTGTCTATGCAAGTGAATTTCCCTGCGATGCACACGCGGCGTATGTGGAATATTTAAAGGGATGGGGATGCGTTGCATACTTTCGGGATAGGAAAAGTAGGATAAAATAAATAATTTAGGTTAAAACAAGGGTATAAAAAAATAGTTTGTTTTAATTTAAATAATTTATACTATTTAGTAAATTTGCTACAAAGTAGAAAAATGCAAGTGAATTTCACTGCGATGCACACGAGGCGTATGTGGAATATCCAAAGGGATGGGCATCCGTTGCTTACTTTCGGGAAAGGAAATATAGGATAAATTAAAAAGTTTAGGTTAAAAAAAATAGTTTATTCTAATTTTGAATTTGTATTTTTAAATTTCCTACAAAGGAGAAAAAAAGTAATACAAAAAAGAATAAATAATACAAAAATAATACAAAAAATAATAAGTAAACTGTAAGTAAAGTAGCCAAAAAATTGGACTATGGTTTTGACTATACTATACTTTCAACACTCTTCTATTTTCTTAGAATTAGTACTGTTATTTATTAATAATAACGTAAATACAAAATTCTCTTTAAAGTTATAATAAAATACCACTACATTTAATCATTTTCCGCTTACCTCAATATAGATTTCCCTGATTTCTGCACCATCATCATGAAATTCAAACCTTGTTCAGCGCCAATAACATCGATTGAAAGCGTATCGATAGCCTAATCTGGCACCGATAGTTATGTCACCTGGTTTTATTTTGGTCTTAACAATCCGAGCCGGCTAGGATTTCTCCGCCTCCAAAGCAAAACTAGATTGAATCCTCTCCAGGATTCCGGAGACACCAGAAGCACCATGACGACGGCTGTGCTGGGCGGCGGTCTGAGCGGCCTGTCCGCCGGTTACTACCTGTTGCGGCGGTTCGGGAAGCCGCTGACCATCTACGAGGCCTCGCCGCGAGTGGGCGGGTGGGTGCGGTCGGAGAACCGCAAGGACAGGAACTTCATCTTCGAGAGCGGGCCACGCACCATCCGGCCGATTGGCCTGCAGGGAGCCAATACCCTGGAGCTGGTGGAGGAACTGCAACTGGAGGTGACGCCCATACGACGTAGTCATGTGGCTGCCCGCAACCGGATGCTATATGCCAAGGGACAGCTCTGCATGCTGCCCAACAGTCCCAGAGGACTCTTCGGCGTGATGCCTCCCTTCACCAAGCCGCTGTACAAGGCGATCTTCCGGGATCTGGTCACGGCGAGCAAGAAGGCCAAGTTGGAGGACGAGAGCATCTACAGCTTCGCAGAGCGGCGGTTCGGCAAGGAGATAGCCGACTACGCCATCAGTCCCATGATTTGCGGCATTTGCGCCGGAAATGCCCGCGAAATAAGCGTTCGCTTTCTGATGGAGGGCATCTTCGAGAAGGAGCAGAAGTACGGAGGGGTACTCAAGGGAGCACTCTTAGCCCGCTTTCGTGATAAGGCAAAGGACTCAAAGGACGGCGGCCTCTTTGCCCAGGGACAGCCCAAGCTGTATGTCCAGGCGCAGGCGGAGAAGTGGGCCATGTACGGACTGCCAGGCGGACTGGAGAACCTGCCCAAGGCCATGCGAAAGTACCTGGGCGAGCGGGATGTCAATGTGCAGCTGAGCAACGAGTGTCGCAATCTCACATTCAGCGACTCTGGCGTCCGGATGACCATCAGGGATGCCGATGTGCCGGTGGAGCATGTGGTCAGCTCGCTGCCCGCTCATAAACTTGCGCCCCTGGTGAAGCAGCAGCATCCCTCGCTGAGCGCCCAGCTGCTGGACATTCCGTACGTGGATGTGCTGGTGGTGAACATGCAGTTTCAGGGAAAGCTGCTCAAGCAGGACGGATTCGGTCTGCTAGTGCCGCCGGTGGAGAAGTTGCCCATTCTCGGTGTGATTTTCGACAGCTGCTGCTTTGAAATGGGCGACAATACCGTGCTCACCGTGATGATGGGTGGCCACTGGTTTAACCAGTGGTTCGGTGATCGCCCCAGTCCCAAGCAGATCCTCGACTTGGCCACCAGCCACGTCCAGAAGATCCTGCAGATCCGCGAGGAGCCCAAGTTCAGTCGCGTGCACACGCTGCACAAGTGCATCCCGCAGTACACGGTGGGCCACAAGCGACGCGTCGAAGGCATCCGGAACTACATCAAGACTTACAAGCTGCCACTGTCGCTCTGCGGAGCTGCCTACGATGGAGTGGGCATCAACGACGTTATCCTGTCCGCCCGGCGACAGGTGGAGGCCATGCCGTCGTCCTAATTCAACCCCATTCCCCCCGAGCACACCCTCCTTTCCATTGGTGATTTTGTTGTATTTGCTTAAGCTGGTTTTGCGAGTAGTAAAGTAGGTCCTTTGTACATGGTATTGAGTTCTGGTCTGGGCTTTACTTGCCATGGCCACCCAGGCACGGCGGACTCTTCTCCGGCTCCTGTTCGGGCTCCCACTGCTTGGGCGTCTTGGCCTCGATGGACAGGGCATGCATGAACTCGAATCCGGCTGCCTTCAGGGCGTTCTTCACCGTGTCATTGACCAGTCGATGGCGCTGGAGGAAGAGTAAACTAGTTAATAACCAGGAAATCTAAAGTTATTTAAATCCACCTTGATGAGGGTCAGATCGTTGAACTTTTCCGAGACCACGAACACCCGGAAGTGGGACTCCGACCGCTTGGGCACATTGTGCTGGGGCGATTCGTTGATGACCTCCAGGAACACCGGCTTCAGTTCCGTGGTCAATGCCTTGCGCATGGCGAACTCGATGGGCGGATACTGGCCCGCCTCCTGTGACATGGTGGCTCTGGACAGGATCTGTCCCAGGCTGCTGGTCGTGGGCGTCAGTTGAGTCAGATTTCGGGAGGAAACTCCAGCGAATCGGCGGAGGGTTTGACTTAACATGGTTCCAGTATGCTTCTCGCACAGCTGTTCACATTACATAAACAACTGGCAGCCAGAGTTGTCGAGTGTGCGAAATCGACTTATCGATAGCGAATGAAACTTTTTAAAAATTATTTTTAACGGTAATCGTTTTTAAAGTTTTGAAATACTTTTTTAAGACGTAATTGAATAGCTCCTTAAATAAAAAACAATTACGAGTTATTTAATTTTATGGAGAAAGAAAATAATTTTTTGTTTGGTAACTGTTGAACTAATAAGCTTTTTTATTAGTTAATGCAAACGAAAATAAGAAAATTGGGTTGGTTTATGCTTGTTAACAATTTATTATCGAAAGAGTACAGCAGGCGAGACGAGAATGCGTTTTATGGCGAGATCAGAATTCATACTGAATTTACGAAGGGCCAGCCAGCCGAATGCTGGGCCCAAAATGCAAGCATACAACAAATGGGAGAGATAAATAGAGAGAGATGCCTTTCGTGATGCAATTGATATAAGAGTACGGATTTACACGTTAATTAGCTGCTGCGGCTGCGTGACCCGACATACTCCCCCGTTGGAAGCCTGGGTTTCAACATCATCCTTAAGGGGCAGCAGACATAGCTTGTTCACTGCTCGCTTTGTCACTCCTGAGGCTGTCTTCAGAACGGCAACTCGAGCAACGCCATCTCCACCGAACAGCAGCTCAATCACTCTGGCGAGGGGCCACTTCATGGGAGGCAAGTTTTCGTCCTTGACCAGAACTAAGTCATCGACAACCAGGCCCGGTTTGGGGGTGCGCCACTTGGAGCGCTGCTGCAGAAGTGTTAGGTATTCTTCCTTCCATCGGGACCAAAAGATCTGCTGCAAGTAGGCCACGCGTTGCCATCCATCCAAGCGATTGAAGTTGAGACTGGTCACATCTGGCTCGACGAAAGATGAAGGCGGACCACCATTCAAAAAATGTGCTGGGGTTAACACATCCAGATCAGCGGGGTTTTCTGAAATCGAGACTAATGGTCGAGAATTAACAACCGCCGAAATGTGACACACCAAGGTCCGCAACTCCTCAAAGGCTAAAACAGCAGTGCCAACAACGCGGTAAAAATGATGCTTAGCGATCTTCACAGCCGCTTCCCAAAGACCGCCAAAGTGAGGCGACCTAGGAGGAATGAAACACCAATCAATGGCCTCCGCCAGGCAAAAGTCCAATGTAGCTTTCTGATGATCATTGCTGAGGAATAGGCGCCTTAGTTCGAGCAATTCATTGCGAGCGCCGACAAAGTTTGTTGCATTATCAGACCAAATCTGCCGTGGCTTTCTTCTAGTGCATATAAATCGTTTAAGGCCATGTAGAAATGACACTGTAGAGAGATCCTTAATCAACTCCAAATGAATAGCTTTTGTGGCGAAACAAATGAAGACACAAACGTAGCATTTTACTGGAGGCTTACTTCGCACTTCTGACTTGTAGAGAAATGGTCCGCAAAAGTCAATGCCAGTGACTTCGAATGCATGAGATCCATCGAGTCGTTCCTTTGGAAGATCCGCCATTATATGCTCCACTAGTCGAGGCTTCATTCGATAGCATCTAATACATTTGTTTACTGCCTTCATCACCGTCTTCCTCCCCCCAATAGGCCAATATTGGGATCGAATTATGCCGAGTAGCGCCCGTGGTCCAGTGTGCAGATTGCTTTCGTGAAAGTGAGTAATAATGGCAGCAGTGACCGAATGACTCCGTGGTAAAATAATTGGATGGCGCCCATTAAAATCCAGCGAAGAATTCTTTAGCCGGCCGTCCACTCTAAGAATCCCAAATTGATCAACAAATGGCGAAAGAGATGCGATAGAGCTGGATGGGTGCACCAATCCCTTTGACTGCAACGATTTGATGTCGTCCCATAAATGTGAGCGCTGGACCAGACGAAGCAACAGCCGAGTACCGCCTTGAAGGTCAGACACCGTGAGCGTAGGGCGACGGATGCGATTACTAAACTTGTAGACGTATCCGAAAACTCTTTGAAGGGCGGCGAAGGAATTGGCAAATTTTGAATTAGCCACTATGTCTTCGTATGGAGATTTTATTAGTAAAATCTTTCGGCGAACCTCAAGCGTTGGTCTTTCAGCAATGATTGGGGCCGGCCAGTCAGCTTTGGGGCCACAAAGGAATTTTGGTCCATGCGCCCACAAAGGAGAGTCATTAAGCTCAGCAGGAAAAGCACCTCGGGAGAGAATGTCAGCTGGATTTAAAGAAGTTGGAACATATCGCCACTCTACTGACTCAGTTAGCTCTTGAATGGCAGCTACTCGGTTCGCTACAAAAATGTTGAACCTGGAGGGCTCGTCTCGGATCCATGAAAGCGCAACAGCAGAGTCGCTCCAGCAGTATAACCTTCCCTCAAATGCCTTAGTCCCAGCAACTTCCGCGATGAGTCTAGACAGGAGTTCAGCCCCACAAAGCTCCAGCTTGGGCACAGTGAGTGTTTTTAAGGGGGCTACCCTTGACTTTGAGCAAAGCAATTGAGATCGGCCGTTGCAAACGATGTAGACACAGGCACCATATGCTTCTATGCTGGCATCACAAAATCCATGAATCTCACTCTCAGAGTTTGGAGAAAGAACCAGCCGAGGAAATGACGCATGCTTAATTTGCCCAAAACTCGTGCATATAGCACTCCATTCCGTATTCTGTGACTCCGGGAGGCTTTCATCCCAGGATAACTTCTCCTTGCACAGTTGTTGAAGGAATATTTTCGATTTTGTGATCACAGGTCCAACCAACCCGAGGGGATCGTAAAATCGCGCTATTGCAGACAGGACAGATCGCCTGCAAGGTCTTGACGCTGACTGTAAGACCGAAAAGGAAAACAGTAATTGGTCAGAAACTGGATCCCAAGCGAGACCTAGGGTTTTTGCAAAATCAGTTCCATCATCAAACTTCAAATAAGACTCCTTATCCTTGTCTGCAACTCCCTCCAAAACAGCTGACACATTCGAGCACCACTTTCTAAGCTTAAATTTTCCCTTGGCTAGAAGTTTTGATGTTTGATCCATAATGATGATTGCTTCTTCCTTGGATTTGGCTCCAGATATCAAATCATCCACATAAAAATCGCGACGAATGACCTCAGCCCCAAGCGGAAACGCTGTATGCTCGTCTGCTGACAGCTGATGCATAGCTCGCACAGCCAGAAATGATGCTGGCTTCGTGCCATAGGTAACGGTGTCTAGCTTAAACACCCGCAATTGATCCTGGGGGGAATCCCTCCACAAAATGCATTGCAAATAGCTGTCCTCAGGCTGAACCCTAACACAGCGGTACATTTTGCAGATGTCTCCTGTGATTGCTACCGGGTGTGAACGAAACCGAAGAAGAATCTGGAACAGCTTATGCTGAATTACAGGGCCTGCCATAAGAACATCGTTGAGAGAATACCCTGAGGAGCTGGCCGCCGATCCATCAAAAACTACGCGGAGCTTTGTGGTGGAGCTATCTTCCTTTATGACGCAATGATGAGGCAAGAAGTATCGGCACAACCCGCTGTCAGAGGCAGACACTGATGACATATGTCCTAGATCGAGGTATTCCTTTATGAATGCTCCATATTGAGCCTTCAAGGCTGGCTGACGATTTAGCTTTCTCTCTAGGGACAAGAATCTTCGATAAGCTTGCTGGTAGGACTCTCCCAAGAGGTCTAGATTGAGCTTGGCAGGTAAACGAACAGAATAATCCCCAGCTGGCAAACGAACAACGTGTCTTACGAAATGTGCTTCACAGTCCAATTCTTCCTTAGTAGCGCGTATGATTGGCTCGGCGCAGCTTTCCACTTCCCAAAATCGTCGAAGAAGATCATCTAACCGATCGAAACTATTCTCCCTGCTAGCGAGGGGTAACTCTTGAGACGACAATAAGGACGAGCCATTGGAGAGGCCATAACCTCCAGAAACAACCCAACCCAGACGAGTCTTTTGAAGTAGGGGTAATCCATGTGGAAGCTTAATTTGGCCAACGCATAACATCTCGTAAAAGAGGCTGGCTCCGATTAAAAGGTCCACCCGCTGGGGAGTATAAAAACTGGGGTCCGCTAACTGAATATTTTTAGGTATTTTCCAATTGCCGATGTCGACATTGAAGCTAGGCTGCCGCTCTGTGATGTTCGGAGCAATCACCGCGGTAATGTTGGCTGAGTAATCGGAAGTTCGGGACCGAACCGTAATATTAACCGAATGACCATCCGTCACAAAACTGGAATCTCCTATTCCAGTAACAGATGCTAAAGATTTTATCTTCTTTACTTGAAGCTGGCTTGCGAATCGGGACGTTATTAGATGCAGCTGGGAGCCAGAGTCGAGTAGAACTCGACAGGGAACGAAAACTCCGGAGCGGTTTTTTACTAATACGCTTGCCGTTGCTAAGAGCACAATATCATTACTAAAATCCTGTGCAATGAGAGCAGTCGAGGTGGAAGGCAGTGCAGATGGTGATGCAGACGGAATTGCTTCTTGAAGAGGTGCTCCTTCTTGTGAAGAAAGGGAAGCTAAGTTTCCCATGTGAAGCAGGGTGTGATGCTTCGATCCGCATGCACGACAATTACTGGAATTGCACTGCCTAACTTGATGACCAACCTTAAGACAATTTATGCAAAGACAGAGCCGTTTTGCTTCTTGAAGCCTATTCGTAGGAGACAGGGCTTTAAAATTCTGGCAATAAGAAATGGAGTGACCTGCATCATTACAGAATATACAGATCCAAGGGTTCGAATTCGAGGCAACAAATGCTGATCTACGCGTATTGGGTATTCTGTTACTTCCCACCTGAATGCCCGGCGCATAGTTTGCCATGGCAAAATCCATCGTCTCCAACGTCCTGCACCGCTGCTCCAGAAATGATGCCATTGACTCCCAAGTAGGAATTAAGTTGACGAAGGCAGGGTCCTCTAAACGCTCTTCCCACTTGGCCTGACTTGCCGGATCCAATTTTTGGAACAGGATTTGGACGATGATGCATCCTGCAATTTGTTCCGTCGTGCCCAGCCCCTTAAGAGCGCGGATATGAGCGTTGAATTTATCCGACAGCTCCCGAAGTGTCGAAACGGAACCACTCTGCACCGCCTTTATTCCCAGGATCTCAGTAATGTGTGCCTGAAAAACCAAACGACGATTATCAAATCTATTTTGCAGTAAATCCAAAGCAATTGCGTAGTTGCCGTCCGAAATTTCCAGCGAGCGAATAGTTTCCAACGCAGTATCCCTCAGGCATGATCGTAGATGCTGCAGCTTTTCTATGTTGGTGAGATCAGGGTGACTATCTATGATAGTGGTAAACATAGAATAAAAATCAGACCAATTTGCATAACCTCCAGCGAATTTTGGAAGCTCAAGTGGAGGCAGTAATGTTGCCCTATGTCGAGGCTGACGCTGCTGGAGGCCGAAAGCTCCGGGAGTGATGCCGTCAGCAAGAGTTGAGTGCGAAAGGAGCTGTGAGGCGCGCTTTGAAATTTCGGATCGAACAGATGACTTCAAAAGTACGAGAATGTCATCAAATTTTTCACTCAAATCACTTTCAATTTCCTCGAAATCCAATTCTTCGAGCTCACCAAGAACCTTTTTAAATGTTCCTTGAAGCTCATCAATCAGCTCCAACCTCACGTGGAGCCCGGATTCGTCGCATGAAGTTAACGCCGCACTTGAAAGGGAATCCACTAAACGCTCCACTCTATTAAATAAAGCAGTTGCCTTGCGCTTTAAAAATATCACCCTGTTTTCATCAGCGGTAGCATCTCCAGCAATTCCCGTAGGCATGGCTACAACAACAACAACGGCACAAGCAGACGAAATGCCCGAAATTCGGTTTCAGCGGGAAGATGAGCGCAAAGCAAACGAAGAAATAACGGCCCGTTAATTGGCTATGTACGCTCCAATATATAACTAATTTTTATGCAAATTTCGGCAACACAAAAATGCTATTTATTTATAGCGCTCACTGCATTCAAGGCTTTATTTTTTCGACAAATGATTTCTGGCTCCGCCAATGCACCGCAGCCGCAACAACGAAAAGTCAATAAATAGACTTATTTATGTGATTTGCACTTAATATTGTTTTTGTACGAATCACGTCGGGGTCACCAATGTTGAACTAATAAGCTTTTTTATTAGTTAATGCAAACGAAAATAAGAAAATTGGGTTGGTTTATGCTTGTTAACAATTTATTATCGAAAGAGTACAGCAGGCGAGACGAGAATGCGTTTTATGGCGAGATCAGAATTCATACTGAATTTACGAAGGGCCAGCCAGCCGAATGCTGGGCCCAAAATGCAAGCATACAACAAATGGGAGAGATAAATAGAGAGAGATGCCTTTCGTGATGCAATTGATATAAGAGTACGGATTTACAAGTTAATTAGCTGCTGCGGCTGCGTGACCCGACAGTAACTAATTAAGTACGGCAATAAAAATGCAATCGCCCAATAAAAAAGTTAAATTAAAATGCACAAAAAAAAGTGTTGGCTGTTATGGGCTTAAATTATTTTATTGGGGCCAGAATCACTAGTTAATCGTTTTTTAATTTTTGAATTATTTAAAAAAACCGTTATTAAGTAGCTTCTTAAATAAAAAACAAAAGCGGTTCGTAAATTTTAATGGAGAAAAGAAAAATATATTTTGTTTAATAACTAATTAAGTACGGTAATAAAAATGCAATCGCCTAATAAAAAAGTTAAATTGAAATGTACAAAAAAAGGCCATCTCCCTAAAAAAGTGCTGGCTGCTATGGGCTTAAATTATTTTATTGGGGCCAGAATCAACAGTTAACGCAGAACACGCTCCTACGTCTATAAACAAACGAGCGAATATCAAGTGTATAAAGTGAATAGAAAAAGAGTCTCCTTCACAGCGCTTTCGGGCTCAGTAGTCAACCAGTTTCTTGAGCTTTGGCGGGGCGGAGATGACGACGCGACCTCGATTTGAAGAACCGCTGCCGCCATGACCGTAATCCGCATCCCGATCTCTGTCCCGTCCCCGCATCCTGTCGTGCTGATGCTGCTGCTGCTGTTGGTGCTGCTGCTGCTGCTGATGCTGTTGCCTGTACCGCTCCCGCTCGCGGTTCCGCTCCATGCTGCGGTCCCGCTGCCTCCGCCGCCTGGACTGACTTCGTCGGCTGCGCGATCGACGGCGATCCCGACTGCCACTTCGTCGCCGGCTGTGGGAACGTCGCTTGCGATCCACGCGACTGCCGCTCCGGGAGCGCGAGCGCTGCCTCCGGTTGTACTTGGGACTGGGCGTCCTTGTGCGTCGCCTCCTCTCCGTTCGACTGCTGCTCCGCCGGCTGTGCTGTGTGTCCGGCGGAGGAGTCCGCCGGCGACTGTGCGATCTGCTGCGACTGCGACGGGAGGAGGTCTTTGCCAGCTGGCTCTCCGAGGCCACCGATTCCGCTTCGCTCCCAGAAAGCTTCCCGCTCGAGGGCGTTCCGTATTTGTGTCGCAGCTCACGACGCCTGTGAATATGTAGATGTGAGAGGACCGCCAGAGCCAACCACATCCAGATACCCACCTCCTGCGCAGCTTCAGCGCCAGCTCGCGCATCTCGTCCTCGCGCTCCTGCTGCTGCAGTCGCTCCCGCTCGGTCTTTTCGATCTCGGCACGCTTATCGGCTTTATCTGCAAGATATTCCGGTTTTAGTTCTTTCAACTCTATAGGATTTTAGAAGGCTCTTGGTGAACATCACACTACACTCCGTTTGGCTTACATTGCCTGTTCAGTAGGTTCTGCATCTTTCGCTTAAGCCGCTCGCGCAGATTGGGCCGTCCGCCACCAGAACTCGGATGTCCAGAGCCCTGTAAAAGCATGCAATTATTAAGCAAATGTTGGGATGAGATTGAGGTTTTAAGGGAGCAGGGGCGGGCAGTCGAAAGTGTGGTGGGCAGTGGGGATTCGTCAGTGTGTCCAAGTTCTGCTGTCGGTTAAGGACTTTTGCTCACTAACAATGGGGAAAAGCTAGCTTCGAGAACCGAAGCTTTGAATACCCTTGCAGACTAATCATTTTAAGGATGCACTAAGGTTTTTAATAAATGGAAACTCTAACAAAAGTGCGCCGACTATCAGATACCCGTTACTTAGCTAAAGGAAGTCGATGGAGATATTAAACTTTGAGCGATCATAACTTTTTAACAAATGGTACGATTTGAAAAACTTATTCTACATTTCGATAGGTATAAGTAAACACAACAAAATTGCATTAATACTTCTCCGAAATCTTTAAAAATGTGGGCGCCCGGCGCATTTTAAAATCGTTTGTGGGCGATTGTGTAGCACCGGGTATAAAAACTTTTCGAAAACTTGAAAAACCCCTGGCAATAAAGACCCATATCACTCAAGTTTTGATTACAATGGTTGAGGAGTTTAGGTTCCATGGGAACTATTCGCGGAAGTTCTTCGCATAGCAACAGTTTTACGAAAAAGCTGACAAACAGGACAATAATAGCCTATTGGGGTGGTAAACGCATCCTTGATTGCATTGCTATCAGTGCAACGATTGCTGCATTGGCATTAAGAGGGGACACAAGACAATGCATCAACAGCTAAAGGACAAGACATGCAGGGATGGTCACTAGTCGGGGTTGGAACGAGAACACGGTGTGCTGCCTGCTTGGGTCCGAATGTTGCTCATTGGTTTTTGGATGGCGGATGGCGGATTGCGGGAGGCTGAGACGTGAATTTTGTGGTGTACTCCAGTTGGGTGGGGCATGAGACATTTGGCTTTGCTTACTGACTTTGGTTTCGGTAGCAGAACTATATTTGCCTGTTTGATTACCCGTGCTGCTCGATGACGACATGGTCGGCTGGAGGGCATGGGAACGCTCGGACCTGCAAGAGAGATGCCTAAATTAGTTAATCAGTTAAAAAATGAAAGCATTTAAGCCCTAGTCTTTGGCTGTTCTACTTTACCACTCTCTGCAGCACACAAACTTACGCAGTCTCCACTTCCATATCATCGGAATCGTCTGCTCGCTTTCCCAACGGCGGCTGTGGCTGCTCCTCGTTGTCGCTGGCCTCGCTGTTCTCCCCGCCCGACGAGGATGAGGAGGAGGTGTCATTGGCTCTCTTCCTTCCATAGTAGCGTTTCAGTGGCGGCGGTGGCGGCTCCACCACTTGCGGTTGCACAGCGGCGGATTGGTTTGCCTGGAGCACTCTTGCGGGCAGTGGATAGCTGATCATGGGTGGCGTGGCTTTCACCGGCGGCTGCTGCTGCTGCTGGAGCAGTTTCACCGCCGTCAGCGTGGATGTGGTTGTAGTGGTGGTGGTGCTCAGACAATAACCACCCACTGTGGCCACTGGCGGCGGTGTGGTCTTCTTCTTGACGCGACTCTTGCGACTGGAGTGGGAACGAGAGCGGGAGCGGCTTCTCCGCCTGTACGAACTGCCGCTGGAGCTGCGGGAGGAATAGGAGTAGCGCTTCCTGGACCGCTTGTAGCTGGGACTGCGCGTCTTGTAGCGCTTCCACGAGCCAGAGCGAGACGTAGATCTCGATCTCGACCTGGATCTGGATCTCGAGCGGGATCTTGACCTCGAGTAGTACCTACGCCGTCGTCGGGATCGCGTCCTGCTCCTTCGGTGATAGCTACGACTGCGGCGACTTCTCCGCCGACTGCCACTGCGACTCCTTGATCCGGAGGCGCTTCTTGACCTCGAGCGGGAGTGCGAACGGGTTCGGCGTCTGCTGCGCTTGGCCGACTCGTTCATCACCTTCAACTTGTCTAGGTTATCCTTCACCTTCTGCGCGTAGGAAACCGAGGAGGCTGCAGCGGCGGCCGCCATGGCTGCTCCACTACTAGCATTAATGCAGGATTCACCGAGAGTCAGGCCCGGCTTGGTCAGGCTGATGGTGATCTTGGAGTGCGGCTGCATCTCGTCCTCGCCGCCGAATGAGGTAATGTACGTGATCTTCTCGGGCCCCGCCTCCGCAGGCGAGGGCGAGCGCGAGTCGCTGTCCTCCTCCTTTTCCTTGTCGCCGCTCTTGTTGCCGCCGCCCTTCTTGTCCTTGTCCTCCTTGGCCGCATAGCTGGGCGGACTGAAGGGCCTGTTGGCGATCCTTCGCTCCTTCTGGGCGCGTCGCTCGCGCCGCGACTTGCGCCCGCTCAGCAGCATCTTCTCCTGCTCCTCCTCGCGAGCGATGCGCAGGGCATCCGCCTCGTCCGCATCCTTGGTTAAATGCGAGAAGAAGTCGTTGCTCTTCATGCCGTAGTTGCGCCCGCAGGCGTTCAGCTCGTGCGCCTGCGAGTTGTCCAGCTTGCCGATGTCTATGGACACGTCCATGTCGATGTCCGAATCGGACTCGTCACTGCCCTCCGCCTTGTCGCCCTTGCCGGCAGCAGCAGCGGCAGCAACGGCTGCTCCTCCGCTTCCCGTCGAACTGGCGGCTCCAAAGGGCTGCGGCCCAATGGTCGCCGCTGCATCCCCAGCATCGTCGTAGGAGTAGCCAATGGTGGCTCCACCGGTCTTCTGCTTCTTCTTGGCCAGATTACGCTCCGCCTCCAGCTGGGCATTGGCCCCAAACTGCTCCTCCAGGTAGAGCTGGTGCAGGAACTTGTCCTCGCTGACGTTCAAGAAGTCGTTTTGCGCCAGGATGCGATAGCGCTCGTAGTTCAGCTGCCGCTCCTCGGTGGTCAGCTCGGAGTCCACGTCAGCCCCCTCGGCGCCCCCCTTGGTCACCGAGGGAATGTGATCCAGATGGGCACGCACATCGAAGCGGTCGATGAGGTTGTCCTGCTGACCCTGCCAAGGCACACTGCAAAAAAATAGGGATAAGAAATAAGGGACCGCCCACCTCACACACACGGAAATAAAGTAAAAAGCTTTAGGCTCCAACTGAATATCACTTGCATGATGGCGGCTCCATCGCCGGCGGCGGCCACCGCGGGATCCAAGTAGATCTTGCTCCGCCGGCCGTGCAGCTGCAGGAACTGCGTGGGATCCGCCTGGATCTTGTCGTAGAAGTACTGCCGCCGCTCCGCCCGCTTGCGGTAGTCGACGATCAGGCCGCGGATCTTGCGCTCCTGCTTCCTCGCCTCGTGCCACATCCTGACTGGTGATGACTGATGGTCCTGCGCTTGCCGGCTGGCAAATGAGTTGGCTTCACCCGAAAAAGGACATCAGCACGCCCGGCAAAAAATTTCCTTCGTCTTCAGTGTGACCGCGGAGTGGTCTATACTTTTTATACCACTTTTGTTTGGGAAAATATACTGAAAAAATTTCAAAATGGTCATCCTAAAAATACCAAAACATACCAACAACAAAATCTAATTTACGGGAATCACCCAGTTATTATATGTTCCGTTATTTTTAATATTTAAAGTTTTAGCCATTAAAAACAGTAATATTTTAAGCCATTACTCCATTTAAAGGCCTTGAAGAAAGTAGTCAAACAGTGCCGATAAAATGTATAGGGGGATTCCCTAAACTGTTGAATTGCTGAATTGTTGAAAATTCAACAAAAAATTTCAGCAACTAAGGGAACGACCCAAAATGGTTCCTGTTGAATTTTCAAACAGCTGTTATTTGTTGAAAAGTTTCACGGCACTTAAAGCATGTAAAATTTGATTTATTATTGCTAGTTACTGTCTAAAAGTGTTACCAAGGTAAAAAGAACCACAAATATGCTTTCTAAGTTGATTTTAAAATAAATAATGCGTACTAATGATACTAAAATGTTACAGAGTTGCCACGACTTTTAAAAAAAGGTGACAACTCTGGCTTTTCAGCAATTCAACAAAATTTTCAGCAGCCTCGAGGCTGTTGAATTGCTGAAATTTCTGAAAGTTGACTTTGTATGGAACAGCTGATTAACAGCTGACCAAAATTCAACAATTCAGCAATTCAACAGTTTAGGGAATCCCCCTTATGAGTGTACTTGAATTGACAAACAAGTAAATTTTTAATTTTAGTTTACTAGGATTACTTCTTTTCATTTGATTTTTTAATAAAGAAAAACAAGTGATTTAATATAAAATAATTTAGAATCACCTAAATAATTTGCTTAGTAATTTTATCACTCCCACTTATTTTTATTCTGTGCTTGTATCACTTGTTTTTCCTTACGAGTGATCAAGTGATCCAAGTTAACTCACTTGAACTCACTCTATTTTCAAAAAATTCACTTGTTTGTCAATTCAAGTGTACTTATGCAGGACCTTAATTCCTTCTTGAAAATATATCCCCTACTGTCCTTCAAAGCTCAAAAGGAATACCCCCCATGCGCCATTTTCTGAACCATTTTCGAACGTTATTTCTGGTCGATGCTGGCAACGCCGTGGAGCCTGCGCCCTTTTGTCGGTGGTGGAAACAGAAACAACAAAAGGACAATAAATAACAAGCCAAACTGGAATGGGCCACAACACAACAATTGTCGCTCGCCGCCTTTAGCGGCATCGATTTTGAAGGTGAACACATCCACAGCGACAGCGACAGCCACAGCTAAGTCGGAAGGACACCCACGGGGATTTGCGAGTGCAGGGATAAAGGAGCAGGAAGGGGAAAGGCAGGGAAAGCGAAACCAGAACGAGTCCAGCTCGTTTTCCGCATCCAGTTTTCATGTCCTCTGACAGACGCTACTACTTCGGAGCGGATCTGGAGGACAATGGGGGTGCCATCTGCCAGGACAACGGCAACAACAACAACCACGAACCGGAAGTGGACAAGGACGACCAGGATGCGGACGACTCGGAGTTCCTGCAGGACGTGCCCTACTCCTCGAGCAGCATCGACCGCAGCTCGGTGGGCTCCATTCCGTGGGCGGACGACGCCATCAAGAAGAACCTGCTGGACTGGGAGCGAGTGGAGCGGCTGATGAGCGGCGAGGATCCGCTGGCGGAGCTGCCGGAGCCGGAGTTGCGCAACGAGATCGCCGACTGGCACCGCAAGTTCCCCAGCCTGCTGGGCCGCAGGACTCGTCCGCTGCGACACCACAGTTTCGATAGCCAGACGCGAGAGGACATCGACTCGATTTCAAATCTCAGCCTGAACTCCCTGGACGACGACGACGTGGAGGATGACGACGAGGAGGCGGAGGATGGCTTTCTCACGCCCAAAGCGGAGGAACCGCCGCCGCAGCAGTCCCACCATCGTCCCTACTTGCGTCCCAGCCAAACGAAGCTGGTGGATCTACTGGACAGGGATCTGCGGGTCACCTCCGTCTCGGTGAAGCTGCTCAAGCGCCAACGCAGCCAGCTGCCCATCTCGGCCACCACCCAATCCTCGGCCCGCCTGCGCATGCCGCCCATCCTGAACGTGCTGGACACCAACCGGCGCTTCCGGGGATTGCTCAACAACCGAAGCTTCGTCCAGCTCACCCAGGTGCAGCAGAAGGAGCAGCTGCAGCATCAGAACCAGGCCAAGTCAGCGGTTTTACCTCACCAAAGCCATCGGTCGTCCGCCTGGCACATGCCCATGGCGGCCAATCGGTTCTTCAACAACAAGAACGCCGTGGTGCTGCCCTCGCTGAACCTGGGCAGGCACAGCAGGGAGTTGCTGGCCACCACGACGGCCACTTCGAGCCAGAGCAACTCGAGCGGCGGCGGCGGGCACAACAGTCACGGCCACAGCAACAGTTCCTCCCAACGCTCCACGCTGCATCCGTTTGGAGCGACCAGCGTTTCCAGCAACACACCATCCACGGGGCGGTCCATCTCGGCGGCAGTGCATCATCCGCGATCCGAATTCGCCCCCAGTAGCGCCTTCTACATACCCTACAGTGCCTCGAAATTCAAAGCCTTCAAGTAACCTCAAGCAATAAAACTGAACTCAAAGGAGCATTGTGTTGAATTTCTGTTGGGAGGGGTTTGGGATGTGTTTTTTAAACTATTTAAACTATTTTTTGTACGTTTCTTAAATTTAAAGTAGGTAAAGTGTAAAGTAAGTAATTTAACCCTACTTTAAATTTAACAAATTTTCTCGTCCGTTTGTTAAATTTAAAGTAGGGTTGAAACAATGATTTATCCTACGATTGCACTGTTTTAACCCTACTTTAAATTTAAAAAGTTTTCTCATCCGTTTGTTAAATTTAAAGTATGGTTAAAGCAATGATTTACCATAAGATTACACTGTTTTAACCCTACTTTAAATTTAACAAACGGACAAGAAAACGGCCCCTAATAGATTCGTTTTTTATCCCATTTTCATTTTTCCTGTTTAAATTGGAAAGCTCTACCAAAAGTACTAGTTTTCATTTAAAATTGTTATATGTACTCTTTTGAAAATCGAAAATTGCATAGAAAAATAACATATTTTATCTTCTTTTACGAATTAAAATTCAAACAAGACCCATGTAATCTTAATTATTTTTAGTGTACTACGGTCCCTAAAAGTCCTGCGAATAAAGTCGACTTATTCCATTAAAGGCCCATGTTATCCAGGCGCAGGCGCCCATCATGTTCAGTGAGGTAAAGGGTGTCGGCTAAACACTGCTCTGTGATCAGCTCCTCCACGCGATCGTGCATCTGGAAAGGATTGTTAGGTTAATGTTAAATATCCTGGGAATTCAGAAGAATGACAAGCTTACCCCCTTGGCTTTGTGTTCGCCGAGCACCTCGGGATACTTGAAGGCGGGTCCAAAATTCACGCTCACCGTGGCACTCTTGTGAATCGAAATGGCCGGAAAGTAGCTTCCGGCGTAGATATCCTCGAAGGCCACGCCCTGCGACTGGCCGTTCTTGAAGAACTCAATGCGACTGCCCTGCAGTATGTGCAAATTCTTTAGCGTCTCTGTGATCTTGTCCTTGTCCTCGTAGTACAAATGCGACTTGAACTTGACCAGGGGCTGTTGAAGATTGAATAGATAACAAAAGGATTGCTAATTAGGGAGGGTCGATTTGTAAAGATGCAGAAATATACAAGATTTGCAGGGGTAAAACATAATATGGGCTAATTACAATTATAGGACTGGTTTGAAAATAAGCAAAAAATAACACACAATGTATGCAAATGGTAAATAAATTGTATCAAAACATACCCGATCTTTAAATGTATTGGGCAGATAGTCGAGTGTCGCCTCCTCGGGCAGTTCTATTAGAAATCCCAAGGTGTCGCCCTCCACATAGGCCTCACTGTAGTGCTTGCCATGGCTCTCGGTGAACCTTGTGCCCTTGCGAGATCGCCAGGAGTAACCAAATTTGTCGTAACCCAGCGGAGCCTGCAGGTTGCCGTACTCCCTGCCCCAACCCAGACGCGTGGCAGCTCCCTCGGGCATCTCCTCTATGGTAATCTCGTAGTACCAGCATCCCCGGTTCACAGCTGCATAAGAAGATCTTATTAACAGGGGTTACTTTACTATATTTAAGTAGGTTCCTTACAGTGTGTGGCCCGGACCATGCAGTATCCTCTTTCTCCCGTCACAGCCAGTCGATCCTCGCTTATCTTGAGCTGCGGAGCCCGATCGTGTAGCGCTAGGAGCACAGAATGGGGCACCAGGGTGCGGTACAGCCATCCGGGAATGGGTTTTCCAGCCCAGTCAGAGCTCTCGTCGAACTCCTGGCGAAATGGAGCATGTGGATCCGGTTCGGCTAGTATATAACGATAGCCGTCTTTGTTGAAGGGGTGCTCCAGGGGATAGCCATGTGGTGGGAGCTTCACATTGGCCGTGATATCGGAACTGGGACGACCCTTCTTGCCCGTGGGTCCTGAATCCGTGCCGGGGAATTTTCTTTTCTGTCGATTGTTTTTGGACAGGGCAGCTGGAAAAAAGAAGCAAGTATTAGTTACTATATAGGAAAAATGTTTTACAAAATGTATGGCCTTTATCATGAAGGAAATTTAAATCTATATAAATAATAGTTGGGAATTTTTAATGGTAATTTACAGTCTTTTTAAGGGCGTATCTAGAGCACTTCTAAAGGAAGAAAGATATTATCGAAACACCCTAAGTCCCTTCTATAGAACTTCTGAAGGTCACTTGTATTACTTCCGAATAGGAAGTACTTCTATAATAGAAAAGTTACTATAGTCAAGCACAAATCTACATATATTTTACATATATCCAGGGAATCGTTCGCCATGGAAAAATGTTTGCTGGTATTAACTAGGTGACTGGGCAAAGTTCGAGGTGGTGGTGGTGGTGTTCCCGGGCTTACACTCCTCGTCCGGAAAAGATGACGCCATGGCAGGAAGGAGCAGGAGAGCAGGTCACCGTGGAGCCGGAGGAGCAGGGACTTCCAATTGCGTAGTGCTCAAAATCAAATCAAAATCAATTCCCCTGAAAGAGCAGCACTCACAAACATACACACACAGACACACACTAGCTAATGTGCTCCAAGCGTAACTATTTGTTTGTAATGAATGAGCCAAGTTGAGCGCTTCTGCCAGCCCCACCCCACTCCGCCCCGCCCACAATGTGACTACGTGGGGCTGCCAGCAGCGCTCTCCCGCTCTCTCCTCACGCTCTTTCTCAGGCTCTGCATGTGTGTGCGTGTGCAAATCACAAACTACGATCGAATCGACTTTGCAATTTCCTCTTGTGTTGTTGTTGTTGCTCAAGCTTTGCCAAACACTGGCGAGAGAGCGGCGGTGCTTGTTTTGTTTGCGGAGAGTGTGCGAAGCGTAGGGGGCGATAAATAGGGAGCGAAAAGGGCGACACGCGAACCACTGTGCCAAAATCAGCTGGACTGCCAGTGTTGCCAATTTGGCCGCCAAAAGCTAATTCCTTAGGATGTGCAGATTCGATAGCTACACTTGCGGTCAAGATAATAGGGCTGATTTTAAATTAAATACATAAATGTTAATTATAATCACCTTGAGTATATCCATCGTCGGTGAGTCGCAGGGCGCCGCTCTTGCTCATGCTCTCGTAATTGGGCTTAATGATGCGCAGATCCTGGTGGAAGAGTCCGTACATGGAGCCGTGCTCCGTGTGCTCCTCGTAGGTGAACAGGGTGTGCACATCTTTGACCAGGGATCGCTGGACGGTGCTGTACCAGGACTGGGTGAGCCGGCGCGGCATGGTGGTCATGGCCTCCCAGTACTGCTCGATGTACGGGATGATCTCCTTGTCCTTGCTGAACTGGATCTGCCGACGTCCATCCCGGGAAGCCGCCTGCTGCATGTTGGCAATGGCGCAGTGGCACATCTGGGATATAGCTAGGGATAAAGACTTTGATTACCAGGAACTTTCATTACCCGACTCTTTAACTTACTGGCCTGACTCTTGCGGAAACTCTCCAATCCGCTGGCGGAGCAGTTCTTGCAGACGAACACATAGTTGGTGATGAAGGGCAGCAGTTTGCCCTTGCCCAGTTGGTAGGAAACGCAGGACTCGTGCACCCAGCGGGCGCAGGTGGCGCAAAGCAGCTCCACAATGTTCAGGTTGCGTTCTTTGCCGCTAAAAACAATCTTATCAATGGGGCGCTGACCAAACATACCAGTACCACTTACCAGTAACAAACGCCGGCGGCGGCTCGCGTTTCCTGCGATTTCTCCTCCTCCGCATTGAAGTTCACCTCGGAGCTGGACTCCGTGGGCGAGCTGGTGTCCATTTGGATGTCCTCCATGGCAGTGCAATCAGTTTTCAGTCAAAAAACGGCATGTAAACAACAATTGCGGCTCTTTTTTTTTTTTTGGTCGGCTGGGCAGTGTGACCGTTGGCGGGGACACATGGACGCGGCGGGGAAATACCAGCTAACGCCACCGATAGCAGCAGCAGCGATAGGCGATAGGCGGACACACACCACACAGCCTGACAACCCTGCCCCTGCCTCTTCGCTCCAACTCTGGCTCTTGCTTCGATTGTAATTGTATATATATATACATATATATCCCTACCATATATATATATGTCCGAGTGTAGAATTATCACTTTTTTGTTGCCGAAAAACAGTGTTCCGTGTTGAGAGGCGAGGGCGCCATCCTAAATGGCATTGCACGACCGCCGGGAGCGAGCCGAGCGACCAACGAAAAGCGAGAAGAGCAAGTGCCCGCAGCCGCAACTGCAACAGCGACCGCGACTCCGCCAGCGACAGCGAGTCCCAGACTGCGACGACTGCGACTCCTCTCCGTAGACCGCTGGAAAGGCGGTCCCAACTGCCTGGAAGCCCCCTCATCCCGCGAATCGGTCCACCATGTGCGAGGTGTGCGCCGACTTCCAGAATCTCCTGGAGCTGTGTAAGTGAAAAGTGTCCAGGCCCCCATCCCTGCCCCCCAAACTATCCCGATTTCCCTCTCTCTTCCAGATGAGGTGCGCGTGGCCAGCTCGGATCTCAAGTTCCAGCTGCTGCTGAAGAGCGAGATCGAGACCACCTTCAACTACATCCAGTCCTGGCCGCAGCGCCAGTGCATGTGCCTCTACCGGGACACCAAGAACTACGACCGCTTCAACCTGGTGGTGCAGTCGCTCATTTGCCTTACAGTGCAGCACCTGAAGCACATCGACCACCTGATCGACAACTACAAGCGGCTCACGGCCAGCGCCGCCCAGGTGGTGGCCCAGGCCCAGCAGCAGCAGCAGCGCGAGGAGGCGGTGACCCAGGCGGAGGGCAAGGATTCGACGTCCACCAGTCCACCGGAAGAAGAAGCGAAGAAGGAGGAGCCATCGCAAGGCAGCGCCAGTGAGGAGGCCCAGGGATCAGGCGATGGGCCGCCCAAGAAACCGCCAGTTGGACCCTGCACTCCCCCTCCCCCGCCAACAGCCGCCCCTGCGCAGCACAAGGCCAACCTGCAGTACACCGAGGAGCCCTGGATCCTGCCCGAGGTGGAGAAGCTCCTCGTGCTCGTCTCCAAGGTCTTCCTGCTCAACTTCCCGCTGTACATCGCCCACAAGCATGGCA